CCTGGATTTTTCATAATGTGTCAATTTAGTCCCTATCAAAATCGAGAAAATTGAAACTACAGGGGCCAAATTGACACATCGTTTAAAGTACAGAGGCTAAATTGACACATTATTTGACTTTCCGTTAAATTGATTTAACAACCGTTATTTATTAGACTAAAATAACACAATCCGTTAAATTGAGGGGCAAAATAGAGCAAATTGAAACGATAAGGACCAAATTAATACATCATGTAAACTACAGTGACTATTTACATAATTTACTCTTTCAATTTTGTTCATAAACTTTTAAAGTGGTTGGAGGTAAGCTTACTCTCTAATAATTTTTTCAGTGTTCATTGTTTTAATAGTAATGGTAGAAACTCATAATTTTAAGGGGTAATTTTATTTTAGTGTAAGTTTATAAAAATATTTTTAAATTAGTGATAAATTTTATAATTATTAAAAAATAAAATTATAAATTTTTTTTTTTAATGAATATGTAATTAGAACTTAAAAGTTCCGCTGACAAGGAACTTTTCCTAATTTTAAACTTGCAATTTACGCATAAAAATATAAGAGAATTGGATCTTAGATGATAGAAATGGTGACAAATAAAAAATTAAATATTAAATTTTATTTTCATTTGGCTATGTAGATTGGGTTGGGTTGGGACTAAAAGATAAAATAGACTAAAAGATCAACGAGACAAAATATTACATCTAAGTTATAATTATTTTATTTTTTTTCTCACAAAAGTCAAATAAATTAGAAAAATTAATCCAAATGAACTTTTTAATCCCAGACTAAAAAAATTTCAACTCCAAAAAACCAACTAAAAACGCAAACTGCAACTTAACAAGATATAAAAATCTCAAACTATATATAATGAATGTATTTAAAAATATTAGGGTAAATTACATTCAGCTCTCTCGAGGTTGATTAAAAATATAGTTACTCCTACAATTTTAACAAAATTGCACTAACTTTCCTTGATGTTTTAATTCATATAATAATTAAATTTTGTTTTATTAATAATTTGT